CCCTTGCCTAGCCTGGAAAGGCTGCCTCTGCTGGAAACCACCTGCTGGTGCTGGGAAACCAGGTGGTTTACTGGTGTTGTTGCTCCAGGCGAAGTTGGGATGCTGGCGCCATCCCTCATTGTATGTGCTACTGTATGGATCGAGGCGCCGAGCATTGGCGATGAAAGCCAACTGTTCTTGGGGAGTAGAGGACTCCCGCATAGCCTGGCAGTCCTCCACCAGATGGTTTGGACTCTCACACCACTGACATTGAGCTACTGGAGGCGCAGCTACACCTCGGCCCGGAAGGAGACTGTTGGGCTGCTTTAATGTCTGCACCAACTCAGCCACCTGCTGCTCTAACCCGGATCTGGCCTCCATAGCATGCACACCACGGTCCCGGGAGTGCCTGCCTCTGCTGCTCTGCCCCCAGGAATGATCGCGGGCAGCCAAGGTACTGATCATCTGGTTCAGCTCGGGTGGAGTCTTAGTAAGGATATCCCCTCCTGGGCATAGAGACTCGATCACCCTCTGGCTGTCTGGGGTGATGGCACTGTAGAAGTTCCCCACTGTGAAAGCATCGCTGAAGCCATGATGGGGACACTGCCAGAAGTATCCCATGTACCGCTCCCATGCATCACGAAGGGACTCATCTGGCTCTTGGCGGAAATGAGTGATCTCCCGCTGAATCTCAGTAGTCTTCGATGCCGGATAATATCTGTGCACGAACTTATCCGCCAGATCGTCCCAAGAAGTGATGGACAGTGGGGGCTGGGTCTCCAACCACCTCTTAGCATTCCCCGCCAGAGAATGGGGGAAGAGGTGAAGGCGGATTGCCTCATCCGGAACACCATTCAGCTTGAACCCGTTCGTCAGCTGTAGAAAACGGGAAAGGTGTGCCCGGGCTTCCTCATCCTTCAAGCCATGGAACTGGATAGAGGATGTGATGAGCTGAATCCATCCTGGCTTGATCTCGAAGTTATTTGCTGGGATGGGTGGATAGAGGATGACCGGGCGGATGTCAGCAATCCGTGGAGTGTAGTAGTACTCCAAAGTGGGACCCGGCGGTGGTGGTGGATGCTGATTCACCGGGGGAGCCTGTCGAGCATTCCCCGGTTGTGGGATGTCTTCGCCCTCCATCTCGTACTCTTCCTCAGAATCGCTGGTCAAGTGGCCGTCTATGCGCTCTCCCGTAACCAGTCTAGCTCGCTGCTGTCTCCTAAGTTGGCGGCAAGTGCGTTCAAGCTCTGGATCCAACGGCAGTAAACCTCCTGACTGGCTACGGGTCATGCACTATCTGCACACACTCAAGCAAGCAAACCCGTGAAGGCACAAGTGAGACAAAGTAAACAAAGCGAAAAGAAAAGCTAGAGTAACAGAAATCACTTTTCTTCAACAACCAAGCCGTCCCCGGCAACGGCGCCAAAAACTTGACTCGCTGTTACTGTCACTCTAGAAAATGGCCAAGTGTAACCACTTCCTAAAGCGTAGTATAGCGGGTTTGGGTTTCAATGTCAACCCGGGTCCTAGATGTGATGACTACTCAGTGAATTCGTATTATCTAGCAATGAAACTTTAGTGAGGTTCTAAACTAACAAGCAAGCAAATTAACTAAACGGTTGTTTTCAGGTTAAGAGAGGTCACCCGGATATGGTTCCCCCTAGTCTGCAGTTAAGCCGGATTGTAATTACCAAGTTCAATTTCTATGAAAGTTATACTGCGGAAGGTTCTCAAACAGTCTGAAGTCTCGACTAAAGGTCTTCAGACCCTCTCAATCTGAGTCTCTAGCTGGCGACTAACCTACACCGGAGTAAACAGATTGAGGCCCTAAGAACAAAACCTCCACTACCGAATGCAATTCGGTACAGAATAGTGATTGGCTCCTCGACTAAAGTCACCAATTCACTACCTTCAATTAAGGATACTCTATTAACCTAGGCAGATATTATCATTCTAGGTTAAAGCAGAAACAACAGGAATTTGATCAGGATTCAAGTCATTCAATCATTCAAACCTCAATCGAATATAATCAATATCATAGAATCAATACTTGGGTTCATACAATCAAACCTAACATACAGAACTAGGGTTTCCCACACCCAGATGAATGGGGGAACTACTCCATGGAGAGAGAAGCAAAAGCAGAATCAGATGCGGAAATCATACTGTGAAGATGGATTTCTGCTCCTGGACGTTGAATCGGCACTTCTCCAAGCTCAAACCAAGCTCCAATGGTGTTGAAGATCGATCTAGGGCACTTGGAGACTCTTGTTCGTCGCTTTCTTTCTCTAGGAATCGCTCTATCTCTCTAAAACTCGAATCCCCTCTCTTTTTGGCTGAAATCTGCCTAAAAGGGCATCATTGGCCAAAGCACTGTCGAGGGCACGGCCGTGCTTTGCCTCAGCCCGCCCGTGCTTTGGCTAGGGTTAATTACACGGCCACATGTTGGTGAAAAAACGGCCGTGCTTTAGGGAGAACACGGCCGTGCTTTGGGAGAACACGCCCGTGCTTTGTCTCGGCCCTGCCCGTGTAATCAGCTCATGTCTGCCAAACTCGGATTTGCTCTCGGCAGTAAAAGCACGGTCACAGAACACGGCCGTGTTTTGAAGGCCTCCTGCCCGTGTTTTTACTGCCGAACCTGTTCCCCTATATTCAATGCTTCGTTTCTCCCTCGTCCGGACTCCGAATCAGTCGCCGTTTGATCCCAGACGCTCGTAGTCTCGTCCTCTTTCTTTTCATGTCAAACTTGCACGATTCTTTGTCCATAAAGTGAGGTAGAAATCCATTCTTCTTCAGGTCATGCCAGAGTTTCTTCTCCCGAATCGCCAATTGATCTCTGATTGACTTGAAACTTGCGCCTATGCTTTACTTTATGTGCTAGGACCTGAAATATGACAAAGGAACACAACCTAGCGTAAAATAGGCCAAAGAAGCAATAATGCAAGCTTAAACGATCAAGGAACAAAGGGGAAAACCTGTGCAAATATCGAGTCATCACTGAGACAAGATTAAAAGAGAAACTTGGAACCAGAAGAACATTATACAGGTGTAAACCTGAGGGCAACTTAACTGTACCTACATGTGTAACTAGAACCTTAGTTGAGTTTGGTAGATACACATAAGTGTTAAGTACTGGTTGAGACACAGTAAAGAGAGCTAAAGAACATGATATATGATCTGAGGCTCCTGTGTCTAGAATCCAGAAATGAATCATATTGGTGTTGGTAAGGTTGGTATGGGTGGAGAGAACATAATTACCTGAGTAATTTGGAAAGAGTGGAAGAAACTGTGACACTGAATAGGCATTATGGGAGATGGAAGGTGAGAGTGGTGGTGAATGGACTGTGCTAGCACTAGATTGCATCAAGAGCCTTAGCCTATTCATCTCCTCAGGTGTAAAACCTACCACAGATGTAGCATAACTTGCAGGACTTCCTTCTGATGTTTCCCTTGTCACACTTCCTTCACCTTGTGATTCACCCGAGCTTGCTTGTGACACAGAACCAGCAAATCTTGTTGTTCCTCGTCCTTGTGAACCACCTGTGTTAGTGCCATTCTTTTGTTCCCTGTCTTTTCTCTTCTTAGTCCAACATTCCTCTATGTTGTGACTTGTTCTCTTACAGAACTCACAATATTTCTTGCCCTGCTGCCTCTGTCCTGTATTCTGTTCTGTATTGACAGCCAAGGCTACACTCTGGGACTTCTTGCTGTTACCCCCTGCTTCACCTTTCAATTTCTGTTCATGGTGTAACAGGTCATCAACCGCTTCAGACACACTTGGAAGTGGTTTCTGCAGTAAGAGCTGGGTCTTTATCACCTCATAATCTGAATTGAGACCCCTTAGAAACCTGATTAAGTAGTCTGTCTCTTGCCTTTCTGTATATGTTGTCACTGCTGCACAAGGATTAGGATTTCCAGGTGCACAGTTATATGGAACAATAGGGCTAAATTGCACATACTCCTCCCAATGGCCTTTCATCTGGGTATAATACTGATTTAAAGTAGAATTCCCCTGTTTACAAGCCTGGATTTCATCCTCTAGGTTGATGATTTTGATAGCATTTGGTTTACCAAACCTCCTCTTCAATTCATCCCACAGAACCTTAGCATTGACATGATTCATGACCGATCTTCGCATATCTTTGTGCAAAGAATTCAGAATCCATGACAACACTGCTGTATTACAAGCATCCCACAACAAATATCGATCATATGTAGCTGGAGGCATCGGAATGCTTCCATCCACAAAACCCAGTTTGTGTTTCATCTTAAGACCCATAATCACTGATCTACTCCACATAGTGTAGTTCGTCCCATCAAAGAGCTCAGATCCAATGGATTGATTGAGTGCTTCGTTTGGGTTCAGGTAAAATGGGTTTCCAAAAGTGATTAACTCGGTTCGTTGATCTTGCTGTTGTGCATCAAATGAGCCGAATTGAAAACGAGCACCAGACCCTGTTGCTGTAGCATCAGATCTTGGCGTTCCCGTCGCCGGTGTTTGTGCGCCGGACATCTTGACGGCCTTAGGTCGTTCGCCGCTCTGATACCATGTGAACTTTGTGTGAGGGTTTCAGAAATGCAGCACCCTTACTGAAGGAGGGCTGTTGTGGTTTGTATATATACCACGATTGTAAAAGCATAAAGCAACATAAACAGTAGTTTGCCAATTGTCAGTATGACGTTGGCTATTACAAAACAAAACAGTGTTTAATTAACGGCTACTTGCACTCTTAGTAAAACGCCAGCGTTTTAACTTCTCTTCTCTTCTCTTCGTTTCTTCAACACGGCATCGTTCTACTCTTCCTTCTTCACATCTGCTGCTAATCCTTCTGCATCTCGGATTCATCTGCTGCTCTCACTTCAGTTCAGTTGACATACCTACCTCTTGTAGCCAGCTAGATGTATTCACATTGCCATTGGAAATCAAAGAACAAAAGTGGATGAATTATTTTTCAGAGGAGCATTTGTTTTATGTTGTATCAAATTGGTAGTTTGGTTTAAAGGCAAAGCTAAAGAATGGACCTCTTTGCATCTGGTCTTGCCTTCCAGAGCCAGCTCTTAACCTGGACCAGGAGGAATACTCTGGAATAATAGATCCCAAAAACAGCAGAAAAATGCTTACAACGCCATACTTAAACCAACACTTGCAGAACAATACAATGTCGTCAATTACTTAGCGTACTAATTATGTTGAAATCCCACTTCAAAAATCACAAGTCGAAGTTCATTGCAGAACACGGTAAGGAGTAATAATAGCATTCATAGGTGGCCTCAATTCCTGATGGACACCAAGAACTGGTTCAGCAGAGCAAGATCATTGACACTGAGATGAAACTAAGACTGCAGCAGAGGGTCTCTTCGATCAGAAATCCAGATCAACACGAAATTAATTACGGTGGACAGATCCCCACCGTGATCACAATCACAGGTAGTAGTCCTACAAAAAAAATGGTCCAGGAGATATATATGAGACACTCGTATTACAACTCTTTCATTGTTCATCAATGATACAGTAATGAAGACCAAGATGTTCATAATTACAACAGAATCGATTCTATTAGCAGGTTATTATGGTCTCTGGAGAGATTATTCCATGGAGGATTTGATTAAACAAGCTGGTATGACATCAGAATTCAGAACTCCCAATAGCATCTACAAGAAAACAGAGCGAATATAGCTTCACTACTAGCTAAGTTTCATCACTCTCTGTTGTTCAATCAAGCAATCCTACAATCACACCAATCCCAAATTCATAGCCGAAATTCAAGAGCTTTACCATGATCACTTACCCTCACGGCAGCTTCCCAGATCGGAAAACAGCAAACTTTGACATCTCAGAGTACTTGTAATCAACCCCATTCTCCTTCAGAAACCCTTCGAGCTCCTTCTTCACCGCTTCAGGATCCTCACTCTCGCACTCAATCTCATAGCTCACTCCGAAAGCGTACTTGGTCTCGTCCACCTCCAGCTTCATCCCTCTCCATTCATAAACATCTCTCACATTCTCAAACCCTCCCAAGCAAACAAACCCCATCTCCTTCCCATCGCCGAACTCATCCCTGCACCTCCTCACAATCCTCGAATCAACCGAGCCCAGCTTCATCGGGTCGGCGGCGCAGGCCCGGCCCAGTACCGGGTCGATCTCCTCCTCGTCTTCTTCGACCCGGCTCACCCCATCGACCAAAACAGCCTTGGCCTTCAGCGAAACTACGCAGCGCGTGACGCCGTCGAGGAATCGGAGGCGGAGCACGGCGCGCTTGGATGCGAGCGCGGCGGTGGGGGTGTCGAAGAAGAGGTTCTGCTGGTTGACGGTCTTGATGTGGGATTCGGAAATCAGGGATTTGAATTTGGAGTGCGCGGCGGCGTTGGGAAGCCCTAGCTTGACCTCCACTTCCATTGAAGGCGGAAGCTTTGTGAGATTTCAAGAGGAGGAGAGGCCGATGCGTTGGGATTTGGAGGGGGCAGCGGGGTTGTTGGATTGGGTGCGGTCGAGGAGTCGGACGAGAGCGTCGCCGGCGGAAGGGATGGCGGCGGCGGCGGCGTCGGCGGCAGTTTGGCGGGCTTGTTCGATCTCTTCTTTATCTTCGATGCTCACGTCGATTTTGGTGGCTTTTCTTCTCAGCATTATGGCGATGGCTGCGGCGGCGTGGAAGTTCTGTTTGGCATCCGGGAAAATTGGAGAGAATCGATCTATCAAATCAGATGTGAAAGTTTGCGTCTCCCTTGAAGCTAAACTTTATTTTTTTTTTGGTCGTACGGAAGGAAATTAATAATGAAGCTAAACTTTAGCTGCTAAAGGATAGGCGAAGAAGAAGATAGGTGCTGCACTGCTGCTGTGGGCGGGCTTTTGCTGAGCCCAACCCAAGCCCAAATCCGTTAGTTTGGCCCGATTTCTTATATAAAAATCCAAATATAAAAAAATAAATGGTTTTTTATTTGATCGACATGTTCAAAAGACAAAGGCAAATCTGTACGTGGCACCGTAGGGGTGTACATGGGTCGGTTGGTTCGGGTTTAAGTATTTTAATCACCCGACCCATGCACTACGGTTTGGGAATTATCAAACCCAAACCCACCCAAAAAAATTTAAACCCTACGGTTTGTTTCTAATTGGGTTGGGTCGGGTTGGCGATATTTTTAAGTAAAAACCCAACCCAACATAAAATATATAATTATTATACACCATAAAAATATTTTATAACTAATTAAAATTTCAAACAAATAAATCGAGGTGAAAGGTATCAAAATTCACAAATGTTGTTTGAGTTTGAATAAAATGTGATTTACTTCAACATATGTCTAGCTTTTTTCACGATATTTGTTGAAATAGGCTAAAAAGGTTATAAACAAATGCATCAATAATATGTTATTCTATTAAAATTGTATACAAGAAAAATGATTACGTGAATCATAATTATATTCAATTTATGTCTAAACTTTAAGTCGAAGAATGCATTAGATTAGGGAGACCATGATAGAAAAACATGGCGAAATATCTTAATTTTCACATAAGTATGGCTATATACGACATAAATATTTTTTAGATACGAACTCATACTAATAGTTGGAACACGGGTTGGGTCGGGTTCTACGGGTTGTGTAATCCAAAATCCAAACCCAACCCAAAAGAGGCGGGTTGCACAAAAGAAAACCGTCACCCAACCCAAAATCTTCGTTTTAGCGATAAATACGGGTGGGTTGGGTCGGATTGGACGGGTGGGTCGGTTTGCGGGTGTGTTTGTTCACCCTTAGCACCGGGCACAACACGGTTAGAGCACAACAAGGAACGAGCACAGACACGAAATAAATGGGTAAGGCCGGCACGAATACGGGCACAACACGGTATATAAGTGGGCCGTGTCAGGTCTAATATTTTTTAGACTTTATTGAGACATGACACGAAAATAATATTTATTTGATAGAAAATAAATATAAAAAGAATTATAGGTTCAAATATTACAAAACACAAGTAGAAAAATAATTATTTGTTGTTGTTAGAAGTGTCATAAAGATATATACGTAATTACTAACATAAGTAAAAATGGACAAGGAATTAAACAAAGCCAAATCACACTCGCTATACTTCCAATTTTCTTTTCCCCCTTATTTGTTACTTTTCTCAAACATGATCGGTTAATACTATCTTCCATCATCCAATTTTCACCTTCTTTTTCATTATCTCTTTTATTTTCGTCATTTTCATTAAACACGAATACGAGCATGACACGAGCACGAATAGGCACGGCACGATTCGAACCGTGCCCGGGCTTGGGCCGGGCCTAGCAAATTTAACAAATAGGCTTGCATGGCACGACATGAAAAATGGCGGACCGTGCCAAGCACGACACGAAATAAATGGGCCTGAAGCGTGCTCGTGCCGTGCCGGCCCAAGCACGGGCCAACGTCCATGTACAGGCATATCTTTGTTTGGCTTGTTTTTAGAAGCGATTTTATACTTGAAGTAAGGCCAAACATATGTATGAACTTGACCTTTGAAAAATTGAAAATTATTTTTATAACATTGCTACTAATTACCATATTTAGGAATGGTAATGGGACGGATTTCCCTAAATCATTTTCATCCTCATTTCTAAATACGCAAATTCATATCGATCCAAGGTTTTACAATCTCATCCAGTCATCCATGTAGGCCTATACGATTATATCTACGATTTTTTGGGTACCCATAGATAAACCCGACTCGTATGTCCAATATTCATATATCTAGAATTCAATAGGTTATAATGTATCTGTATATACATACGAGCATGTGGTATGAGTATCGAGAATTTTACCTCAAACTCTTTCCGAATTTTACCTCAGGCCTCATATACTCATCTCATACTCAACTAATTTTGTGAGAATTTCCCACATTTAATGGGCCAAAACGGTTGAATACCCACGAAAATGAGTTTAACTATCATCCCTACATTAATATAGATTCATGCAAGGCTAATCTACCTAGCTAACCTTGTGACCAATCAATTTGACATGGTGCAGTTTGGTTCCATCGATATGTCAAGCTTGCTTGCCAAACCAAATGGAAATCTCATACCAGAAATCGAGGCATAAAATCCCCTGTCCATCGACAACCCAAAAATCTCATCAACCCGAAATCGAAATGGCAGCAACATCCATTTTCGCAGCGGCTCGAATTGCAACACTAATTGCAGCAATATCATCGCTAACAATCGCGGCGAGGAGCCACCAGCAGCAGCAGCCTTCAATAGGGTCATCGGCGGCGGCGAGCGTGATGCCGCCGAATCCAATGGACTGCGCCAACGACATACAGAAGGTGCCGGATTGCATGGACCAAATCAACCGCACCGTTTCCAACGGTTACGGCCGGGGCGGCGGCGGGCTGCCCCCTGCCGGCGGTGGGCCGAGCCCCGCTTGCTGCAGAGTGGTGAATGGGCTCGACGACATCTGCTGGATGCTTCTCTTCCCGGAGTACTACCCTGCCCTCCCCGCCGCGCTTAAGGCCTTGTGCTCCCGCTCGTCGTCGTCGGTCCCCGCCGGGAGCTCCGGTTGAGGCTGTTTCTGGCCGGCCGGTGGTCGTGGGTTTGCTCGATCTTCTCATAAATAAAAGTTTCTCGTAGAGAGAACTAAGCTATAAGAGAAGAGGAAAATATCGAATCTCCATATTGTACTTTATGAACCCCAAACTCTATTATTAGTAACGGGTTGTGAATTCTAGCACTTGTGTAGGGGCATGGTTGTCATGCCAGTGGTATGCCGGCCGGTTAGACCAGGTTCAACCGGTACCGGTCATGAAACCGGCTGGAATACCACCGGTATGATGCCTTGGTCAATACCGGTCAAATCCGGTCAAATCCGGTCAAAACCGGGAATTTCGGATGGTTCAACCGGAAATTTAAATTCCGGAAACAAACTAATGCGGCGTCATTTTTTTATGGTTAGAGAGTCCGATCTTTCAGCCTTCCATTCCATCTCTGTCTTTCTCCTCCTACAAACCCTAAAGGCTAAAGTGCAGAGAGTTTGGCGGCGCAGCAAGCTCGGCGACGGCGAGGCAGGGGCGCGGGGCTCAATAGCTGCGAATCTGGGCAGTGAGGCTCGACGACGGCAAGGATGGGCAGTGAGGCTCGGAGGGCGTGACGACCCGTACGTCGCGGGGGCTCGGTGTTCGTGGCTACATGCCGCACTTAGCAGTTAAGATTGGATTGATTGCTGGTTTTGCTGTGAAGAAACGACAGCAATAAATAATTGGGGATTGGGTTTAATGGAGGGTTTAATTGGGATGATTCAGTGGAGTTGATTTTCTTTCCATTGCTTACATCGTGGTTGATTTGGAGTAGAACTACTATTCTTCTCCTTCTCTGTTTCAATTTAGAAACCTTCCCCTATTTTGTCTACCCATGAAACCCAATTTGATTCACACCACCAGACTACTACTACTATCCTTCTACCACATGCCACATATTAATCACTCAATGAGTCAACTATACTGGTCACGGAAGGAAGAAAGAAGGGTCTTCAATATGTCCTCATCACTCAGTACACAGAGGAGAAGTTTTCCAAATTTATTTATGAATGTTTCTCATTTCTTATCATATTTGTGTTAAACCGGCGTAAACCGGTATGTATACCGGTTGTACCACGGTTGTACCATTTCACTTGTGAAACCGGCGCACCGGCATAAACCGGTTTGACAACCTTGTGTAGGGGTGATGAAATGGTTACCATGATTATTACCAACTAAATAAGATTAAATTTCATTAATTATAGAATACAATATCATAACCAAATCGTCCAAACTAATACAACAACCAAATTAACCAAACTAAAGTTTAATCGGTTTGGTTAATTGGTTAACCAGATTAACCAATATAAAATTACATTATCATTAATTGAGAAAAATTTCGGTTAATATATCAATTCACAATTTATGTAATGAATAAAACATAACAATCAACACATAGTTATAGTTGACCCTTAACATAAATATATGCAACTAAGACAATTATCTTACGGTTAGTATAGAAGTATTCATCTAACAAAAATTTATCACAATGGTATGGGTTAATGAATTGTTGTGTTTGTTTGAATTGAGTAGTATTTTAGTAATTTTCATAGGCAGAAAAGGATCTTGCTTTCAAGTTTTCATCCAACATAATGTATGATATTTATCTAAACTATGCGTTCATATGTTGTGGTATACACTCTACATACACAAATATACATGATAGGAACAATATCAAGCTTTATATTTTATGACTCTAAAAGGGATGAACGTTTAATTCTTGAGTGGTTATTCAAAGTATTAAGTATGTGTATATATTAGATATATGGCTAATTATTTATCTGGTTAATTTGGTTTGGCTGGTTAGGAGTGTCTGAAACCAAACCAAACCACCTAAACAAAACAAGCTAAGAACTTCAACCAAACCAAACCAATTATCCAAATTAACCAAACCAAATTATCCAAATAGTACTCGTTAAAACAATTACCATGGTAACCACACCGTTTGAACACCCCTACTTGTGTGTCGACGGATAAAAATAAGATAATAAAAAATAAAATTATTAACTATAGAGTTTACGATTTCATTGTTTTTTTTACAACAAACTACAACGAACGACTTTTCATATTCTTAAACGTTTGTAAAATTACATTCGTAGCTTATGTTGCAAACCAAATATTTTTTCGATTACCACAACTTAGCAATTATTCATAAACTGGACATTAACCTAATTTCGAAGGTCGTTCTTGCTTAACTTCATAACTGAAATAACTCTCTTTTGCAGCTTGCAACAGGTAAAACCAACACTAACTTGAAAAGTAAGTAAGCCAAAAGATTACAAGCGTAATTTCTTCTCTCTCCACCGTCACCCTAGATAGCTAGCTGATAATCGGTTCCTTGTAGAGGTGGCAAATGGATTGGTGGATTGGATTGGTGGATCCATGGATCTAATGGATTGGTGGATTCATGGATTGGATCAAGTGGATTGGTGGATTATCCATGAATCCAAATGACATCCTAACCAAGGACCAATATGTAAAATGTAAAAAGTTTAGGTACTAAAATGTCACAATGAAAAATTTTAGGTACCAAAACGTAATTTTCCAACGATATTTTTCGTATACAAAATTAAATTTTAGGTACCAAAATGTAAAAAATAAAAATTTACTAAACCGTAATTTGCCAATGATCCATGGATCCAATCCATGAATCCACCAATCCAATTGGATTTGGATCAAATGGATTGGATTTAAATGGATTAGATTAGATGGATATTTTTAATGGATTGGATTGGATTGGTGGATTGGATTGAAATTGCCACCTCTAATTCCTTGTAATCCATCAAAGCTCCTGCATTTCTTTGACATTGAGAAATGTAGCCCCTCATTTGGTGATCGAGATGCGTGAGCACATTGGCGGCAAACTTATCACGATAATAACTCAGTAAATTAAACTCGTCAATTTTAAGACAACAAATTTAATGTTGTGCAATGAAGGTGTACCGATTACTCTTTCCTGTCGGAATGAGAAACATTTGATTCTTCTTCCAGCAGCATCGTAATCAACAATATCATCGTTAACAATCATGGCGCGGAACCAGCAGCAGGCTTCGTACGGGTCGGCGGCGGCGACGAGCATGCCGGAACCTAATCCACTGAGCTGCTCCATCGCCGTACATAAGGTGCCGGATTGCATGGACCAAATCAGCCAAGCCGTTTCCAGTGGTTACCGCGGCAAGACCCCGACCGGCGGCGACGGCGGGCCAATTAGCCCTGCTTGCTGCAGAGTGGTGAATGGGCTCGACGAATTCTGCTGGTGGCTTCTTTTCCCGTCCAAGTACTATCCTGACCTCCCCGCCGAACTTAAAGCCTTGTGCTCACGCCGCCCGTCGGTCCCCGGGAAAAACTCTAGTTAAATCAGATATATGTGTATTCCTTTTGGGTTTCTACGATGTTAATTTTTTTTCTTTTTTTTTTTTGGGTAGAAAGATCGACGCACAAGGCGTCTAATTCATAGAAACAGAACGTTCATGGCAATGCCCATTACATCATGTCGAAGCCAATAAACTAATCCCCTATCCCTTACATTGAGATTATGTGTACCAAAAACTAAGATCATGGCCCAAACTCGCCAAGTGGTCGGCAGCAAAATTGGCCTCCCTGGACACATGAGAAATGGTAACCTCCTAGTCGAGTTTCAAAAGAATACTAATTTGTTGTGCAATGCTCCCATGGCGATGGTCGTCATTCTCGCACTTTTTAATAATATCAATTGCGGTAGTAGAGTCCATGTTGAGGTTAATCTTTCAATATCCCTTCTTCCAAGCAAGCTTCAGTCCCTCGGCTGCTCCCTTCAGCTCAGCAGCTGTTATAGAGCAAATCCCCAGGTTGCAAACAAATGCCTCCTTGCAATTTCCAAGATGGTCTCTCAAGAGTCCGCCTGCTGCAGCACTACCGGTCTGGGGAATCACAGATCCATCGGATTGGATTTGGATCCAGCCTTCCCTTGGGGGTTCCCATCCCACTTGCTTGACAGATCTGACTCTGGTCTCCATATTGGTCACTTTCTGTACATTCTGATAGGCTTGCCAAACAATGTTGAACCAGGCGTTTATCCTTGCAATGAGTCCCTCTTTTGAGAAAATCTTCCCATCCATCACCTCCTCATTCCTCTGCTTCCATAGGTGCCAGCAAACGATTACAAACTCCACTCCCGTATTCTCATCACGCAGATTCGTGATCATCCAATCTTGCATAGGTAGGTTTGTATTCTTCTCCGCCATCGTGCTGTTCATCCTCTCCCAGGTGCTTCTGGCCTTAGTGCAGCTTCGAAGGATGTGCTCAATTGATTCTTCATGGTGGTTGCAGTGCGGGCAGGAGCTGTCATTTGTGATCTTCCTTCTGGTTCTCTCTTTGTTGGTGAAGAGCCGGTCTTGAAGAACAAGCCACAAGAAATGCTTTATTCTGCTTGGACCCTTCCACTTCCAAAGACTTTTCCAGTTGCTGTTATATTCTCCATCGATCTCGTTGGCCACAAGTTGATAGGCAGAATTCAAACGAAATCTTCCATCTCTTTCGAGCCTCCAGATGGTCCTGTCCTCCCCCAGTTTGTGATTAGGCGCCTCCATCCCTGCAATAGAAACAAGGGCGTCATCAGGTAAAACTTGCTTCAGTTTCTCCCAATCCCACTCACCATCCTCTGTGGTCCAATCGGCCACGGTAGAGGTTTTCTCCTCTTCAGAGAGGTTTCTGGTGAAATAGTCCTCCAAAATAACCCCATTTTCCAGCCATGGTTGGTAGGGGTGGGCATCCGGTTCGGTAAACCAGGACCGAACCGGACCGAAACCGAGCCAACCCGAACCGAAACCGAACATTTGTTATTCGGTTCGGAATTCGGAACTGAAAACCCTATATTTCGGAAACCAGGATCTGTCCAAGCGAACCGAGTTTCCGATTCCGAACCGAGCAACCGATCATCCCAACTCTCACACTCATAGCCCACAACCCAAAGCCCAATCTCACACACTCACACCCCAATCCCAAAGCCCACAACCCCAAGGCCCAAGCCCTCCCTCTCTACATTTGTTAGTGGAACCCTAGCCCAGACCAAACCTCACCACTAACCACTCTCAATCTTATCACTCACATGCAGCAATCGCAGCCGCCGGCAGAGAAAGGAGACTAGAGAAGACTTGGCAGATTGGGTGGGATTCTAGGGGATTTAGCTCGTCTCCAACAAAATCACCTCCCATCCCACACCCAATATGCATCCCCTTCAATCCAATCGCGCCGTCGACAGCCACATGCAGGCGACGGGAAGTGGAAGGGTCGCGGTGGGAGAGGACGACCACGGCGGCGGGGGAAGCTGAGCGCGACCACGGCGGCGGAGGGAGCTGAGCACGACCACGGCGGCGGAGGGAGCGAAGCCTGATTTACCCTTTCGCAGGCGTCGGATCTGACGATTCAGAAGAAAGTTTCTCGAGGAGGCGGCCATGGCGGTGATGCTTCCTCTGGCTGGGGACTGCGACCAGCGACTGCTTCTGGGCGAAGTTGAACTCTGATGCTGCTGGGGGGTGGGAGAAGGAAGAAGAGGAGGTGGGAGAGGGAGAAGGAAGATTGGGTTTTTATTTTTTTGGCTGTGGGTCTTCAATGAGAAGATGAAGTAGGGAAAGCAAGGAGAGAAGTCGGGTTCGTCGGTTTTTTAGTTCCGAACCGGAATATATTTCAGTTCGGCCAGACCGAACCGAAATATATTTCGGTTCGGGATCGGTTTCAACTTCGAGTTATATTAGGGTACCGGTATGCTTAGTTCGGTTCGGTTTGAACCGAACCGAACCGATGCCCACACCTAATGGTTGGGACCAGAAGCTTGTGGTTTTCCCATCTCTAATGCTCCAAACAGTAGCTTCTTTCATCCACTCCATTCCTTTGACAATTGCTCTCCATAAGCTTGAATGGTTGCTCTTCTTCATTGCAACAATAGCTCCTCCTTTATGTTTGAAATATTTCCCCTGGAGCACCTGTACCCAAAGATCAGATTCTCTATTCAACATATTCCAACCCAATTTGACCATGTAAGCCATATTCATATTATGAGCAGATTTCAATCCTAGACCACCTTGTTGTTTAGGTTTACAGATTTTATCCCAAGTAACAAGGTGGGGTTTTTTCTTTTCATTCGAAGACCCCCACACAAACCCTCTAACCTTCTTGTCAATGGTGTCACACACTGAGATGGGAAGGATAGTGGTTTGCATAGCATAAGAGGGAAGGGCATTCAAAACCGACATGGCAAGGGTAACTCTACCAGCAAGGGACAAGTTCTTGGCCTTCCAGCAAGACAACTTCTGATCAATTTTATCAATAATGTATTTATAGGTGTTCTTGTTGATTCTACCATGCAAGACAGGCACCCCAAGATATCTACCCAAATCATTTGTAGCTTGTATGTCAAGTCTGCAGCAGATATCTTTCCTGGTCTGAATCTTGACATTCCTAGCAAAAAAGATCCTAGACTTGTCATTGCTAACAACCTCACCAGAAGCACTACAAAATCTATTGAGGCAGTCAAGAATAGAATCAACATTCTTAGAAGTGGCCTCAACAAACAAAACTAAATCGTCTGCAAAGAAAAGGTGGGAAAGGGCAGGCCCTCCCGGAGACAATTTCAAAGGGTTCCAATGACCATTATCCACATCAGCTAAGATATAGTGACTAAGTCTTTCCATACAAAGAGTAAAGAGGTAGGGAGAAAGGGGACTTCCCTGACGAAGGCCTCGCGATGGTTTGAAGCTCTCAGTTTCCCCCCATTCCACAAGACTTGAAAGCTGGTGGTGGTGACACACTTCATGATGAGTTGGATTAGAAAGCTTGAAATCCCTGCAGCCCTAAGGGTGTCTTCAAGGAAACCCCAATCCAACCTATCGTAGGCTTTGGCCAAGTCGATTTTGAGGATCATATGCCCCTTTTTACCAGTCCTCCTTGCCATGGTGTGGACAACTTTCTGTACAATAATTATATTATCAGTAATATGTCTCTCTGAAATGAAACTGGACTGATTTTTCTTAACAAGGTGAGGCATCAAGGGTTTAAGTTTATTTGCAATGATCTTAGCAACCACTTTATATCCCACATTGCAAAGACTAATAGGCCTAAAGTGATTCATCGAGGCAGGGTTATCCACTTTAGGAATCAAAGTCAACAAGGTTTCATTGATGGTCTGTATTCTATCAGGAAATCTAAAACAGGAGAGGATGAAAGTAGAGAAATCACAACCAATCGACTCCCAACATTTCTGATAGAAGATGGCTTGAATCCATCTTTCCCAGGGGCCTTGAGACCATTCATTTCCATCACAACAGATTTAATGATATCAAGACTAGGAAGATCATTCATTCTCCTTAGCACCTCATCATTCAAAGCAGGAAATTCAGCAGGCACACTACATCTATTGCTCAAAGGGTCCTTAGTGAAGAGATTGAGAAAATACTCCCTGGCCATAGATTGTAGGATTTGCTCATCATCGATCCATTGTTCATGGTCATCCTTGAGGTAGTTGATTCTGTTTCTCTTCCTTCTGCTGATAGTGCTGGTATGGAAATACCTTGTGTTTTGGTCTCCATACACCACCCAGTTTGTTCTTGATTTCTGGATCCACAGGAATTCTTCCTGCCATAATGTTTCCTCTAGCTCCTCTCTTTTTTCCTGTTCCTTCGCTAGGGAGCTGGTGGTTGATCTCCTTTGGTTGATGATTTTCAAAGAATGCAATTCATTTAGGAGTTGTCTCTTTCTTCTGAAGATGTTCCCAAAGACCTCCATATTCCACTTCTACAGCTTTTCCTTAAAGTTCTGCAAGGAAAGAGGAAAATCAAAGCCAGAGGTCCAAGAGGAGGAAAGGAAGGGAAATTTTTTTCATGAGCCAGCCAAGAAGCTAAGAAATGGAATCTTCTCACCTGATTCTTCTTCCCAGAACTGTCCAAAGTATTAGTAAGGATTGGTCTGTGGTCGGATCGAATTTTTGGGATGTGGAAGACTGTAGTGTTTGGGAACTTCTGCTGCCACTCCACATTACAGAGACTTCTGTCCAGTCTCTCCTTAAGCCTAGAGGATTCAGGAAACCAGGTAAACTTGGGTCCAGAGAACCCCAAGTCATCCAACTCACAATCTTCAATGCAACTGTTAAATGCTCTAGTTTTGACAAAATTAAAAGCTGCTCCCCCTTGCTTCTCCCATGACCTGGAGATGGAGTTGAAATCTCCAGTTAGGAGCCATGGGAGGTTGGTGCTGCTCTCAATAGCCCTGATTAGATCCCACACCTCTCCTCTCTCATGATCATTAGGAGAGGCGTAGACCACTGAAAGCTGAAAGATTTCTTTGTTTTCGCAGTAGCATTTGAGGTGGACCAGCTGTTTGTGCTTATCAATAGCCTCCAGTTGAAGGTGTCCTTTTTTCCAGAGCACCCAAATGCCCTCACTAAATCCAATAGCATCCGAGACTACCCAAGTATCAAATCCAAGAGTTTTGATAACTTTGATAGCCTCGTCCCCACTTATTTTTGGTTCCAAAATGCAAGCAATATCCGGATCATACTTAGCTTTATAAAGCATGAAAGTCGAACAAATTTGGGGTGCTTTGCACCCCTACAATTACAAGAGAAAACTTTAACCATAGTGAGGGTTTAAGTACTTCCATGGATGGCCCTTGTCGAGGCCACTCATTTTTCAACGGCCATAGCCGTTGCTTCTTCCCCAGCTGTGAGAGTAGGGTCTGTTGGGGATTCCAACATCACATTTTCGGGTGAGATCTTGCCAGTCTCTAGGTTGTTGAAATACTCAATCTTCCTAGCTGGTCCAAACCCAATTTCAGGGGTACTTCCACTCGTTCTTCCATCATCCTTAGACCCACCAGGAGGCGGTTGTGACTTCATGTTGGGTTGGTGCCCTGTATTGGCATCAACCTTTTGTCTTTTGTCACTTGCCTTCTTACTGTTAGTGGCAGGTGGTGAGGTGATGTTGCTCTTCTTATCCTGTTGAAAGTTCCTGCTTATTGGTGAAGCACCCCCCTTGTTTTGTTGTTGAAGGTCAGTTTTAGGGATTGGTCGGGGGACTTCACTTGATGTGGCACCCGAGGCAGATTTGAATTTCTATTTGATAATCTCTGGGGACACTTTCTGGATCTCCTTGCTTGTAAAGTTTTTCTGATTCTGAATTTTCTCTGAGCCTTTCTCTGCATCTTTCTTCTTTCCTTGAGATTCCTTCACCTTTCTCTCCTTCTGGTTGTCTTCTCTTGAACTTGTTTCCTTCTCCTTGTTCAGAGCCACTTTTCCTTCCATTGATTTTCCTGCTGGTTTGGTTCCTGTTCTTGCTTTTCTCCTGCAATCTCTTCATCTTGGGTTTGCTCTTCCTTCTCCTCCATGTTATTGGCGAGGGTAGCAAAACGAGATCCTGCAGTTGCAGACTGAGGGGCCTTCTCAACTTTCCTCTCATTTCCTTCCTTGGAGCGATCCTTCTGTTGTGATTTAGCTCTTCTAGTTCTTGTAGCTAGCATCCACGGACCATAGTCTCCAAGAACTTCTGATCTAACTTCTGGAGGAGACATCGGGTTACTGCTATCTTTCATTCGCTGCTCAGGGGTCATTGTTTCCTTCCCTGACTTCAATGGACAGTTATTCTCCAGGTGACCATAGAGCCCTCACCCAAATCAATCGTATGCAGCCCTTCATATTCAATCTATCTAATCCTTCATTTTAATCTGTATTTAGAAACAAGCCGCTTGCGTAGGTCGATAATCACACATATACGAGCACAGTTACCTCTGAAACCATTCGCGGTGTTGTAGTCAATCTTCTCAACCCTCCCTAGCTTGTTGCCTATGTCCTTGAGGATCTCCTCATCGAAGTAAGCGAGAGGGAGACGAGGAAGACAAACCCAGACAGCAGTCTCATTTATGGAGTCGAAGTCGGGGTCAAAATCCAATCTCCAGGGTTCCGCAACGACGTAGTGATCATCAATTGTCCACGGGCCTCCATAAAGCGCCCGATCGTGATCCATCTGAGTGTCGAAAATTGCTTGGCAATAGCCATTGCCAATGTCCCCCATCTTCACACGACCATTCTTTGCCCACAACTTCTGAACGCGTCGTTGGGTGTAGGCAAAGGGAAAGTTTTTCCCAAGGATTCTGAAGGTAATTGCTCTGTGCCATCTGCTCTGGATTCTCGAGTTGGTTCGCTTCTTGACTCGAATGGTTGGACAATCTGGGTTATCGCCTTCATCTTCTCCGTCTGACTCGTCGGACATTAGTTCGTCTTCTTCAGTTTCATCGGCAGGCGGCGAAACGCCCAGAACAGAGTCTCTATAAGAGGAACTAGCCTTCCTATGCTCCATATTCATTGGCTCACGGAGATCTTTGTCACCCATAATCTGGTCCCCCATGTTCAGATCTGATGTCGGTGCTCTTGTCGTGACCACCACAAAATCCATATTCCCTTGGTCGGAGAAACCTTCGCTGCTGCTTGCCTTTGCTTTTTTGCTGGGTTGAGTCGGAGAGGATGTCGGAGATCCATCTGGCGGTTTGAGGCAGTGGTCTGCCTCCATCTCCGATGCCGGGTCGTCAACGATCATAACACAAAAGTAGGAGAGAGGTCAGAGCGTTTTTCTCTCTCTCTCACCTCTATCCCGATGAGTCCTCCAATTTTTTTTTTCTTACGGTCTGTTTTACATATTTCTTCTTTTATCTTTGTAATGTTTAGTCCATCAATTCAACCCGTTGTTCGTAATGAAATTCACTCGATTAACAATAAAATAAAAATTAGTTTTGAGTTGGTTAGTTATTGCTAAGGCGCCTTTCTATTTATTGTTAAGTATTCTTGAAAGTTTGCTTGGGAAAATACATATGTATTAACTGTAACATCCAGAACTTATTCCCGAAAAGATACTGTCCGCTTTGGGACTCTACACCCGCATGGTTTTCGACTTGGGATGCAATTCAAGGTGACTTTCCATAAGGTCACCCATCCTTGTTGTAATCAACACTGATCACGTTTAACTTCGGAGTTCTCACAAGAACTCCTCCATTATACTCCACAACTCGTCTTGTCAGTTAAGATCGGTTTCCTACTTATGAACAATGGATCTATTCTGTGCTTTGTCGATGTGAGATTTGCCTAAGGTGTTACATTAACAATCTATCTATGGAAAATAAAAGTATTCGGGTACTACTATTTCGGTTTATGAACTGTATTTGAGACGCCAAAGCTATCGGAAAATAAAGATTAAATTATCTACATAATAGTGTAATTAGATGAATATTTGATGAAAAAAATTGATTATAAATGACATTTTGTATTTTTTTTATGGTATAGACATTGAGAAAGAAAATGCTTGAGAGTCAAAGGATGAGGAGTGTAATTATGTATTCCGGTTCTTAACATGATATCAAGTAGTTTTGTGTTTGAATTTTGTTGATTTTTGCAAGTTATTATTTGCCTAACCAATCGTCAAAACCCACAAAATTACGCACCTTTGGTTTTAAAGCAAGCTGGAAAACTACGTAAGGTAAAATTATTAGACATGTCTTTTTGCTAACAACTTAAGTTATTGCTCAAGACAAACATCAAAGAACAACAAAATCATGCTATAGTGCAAGGGCAGAAGAAACATGCTCGATTGGGAAAATCATAACTCAAGCCGCGGTACCGGAATAAATGTAATTAAACCATGATATAGATATGAAATGTTCTATCACCGATTTATCCGATACAACATTTGGTACGTGGTTTTACGATCCTCGGTACAAAATAGATCTAAGTACATTATGAGGGTTGGATACAATCATAAAATGTTGCCCTGCATAATAACAATTGGTTCTCACATGTCATCTCCTTCTTTTCTCCAATAATGAAGAACAAAAAAGAAAAAAGCCCTTCAGATTCTCGCATCATCTGTTACTCTCGTCCCACTCCAATAGTAACCAACTTGGTCAACTATACTGTACTTCACCTGCCTGTAAAGCCTTGGCCTTTCTCCACTAACCAAACCTTCCAATGGCTCAATCTGTCTCCCCTCCTCAGGGAAAGACGCTATCACCACAGACATCCTCTGCCTCTCCGGGTTCAGAACCACTCTGTGAACCGGGCTCTTGAACTCCCCGTTGCTCATTATCTGGTAGTAACAGAGTTACCAGTCAAGAAATCAAACTTCCATGAATCACCAATTCAAGCAACAACAACAAGCTCCACACCCAAAAACAATCAATCATCTTTACTTAATCAAAATTACCTCTAGATGGTCTCCGACATGGAGAACCAGAGCATCAGGAACGTTCGGAACTCTGAACCACTGCTCGTCCTTCAGAACCTGAAGCCCTTCCACTTCTCCGTCTTGCAACAGATAAGTAATCACCGTTCCATCGGAATGCGGCTTGAGCCCCAGAGCGCGATCGGGCGTTGGACACGGCGGGTAGAAGTTGAATCTTGCAGAGATCGATCCACCTTCTCTGACCGCGTTCAGAAACGTGCTGTCGTCGTCCAGGCTCAGTGACCTGGCCATGGCCCTGAGGGTTGCATCGTGGAGCACTAATAACTTGCTGCTGTATTCGTCAAGAACTTCCCTGCACGTAACAACTCCAGATCAATGTAGTTAAAATCGCGCTTTATTAGAACTTATATAAACTTACCTATTTAAATTTCTACGTCTCTTCTGTGTGCAGTCAGAAATTTACTCGAGATTTTGACTGCTTCTAAGAGCTCTACATATGAAATTGAGGGGTTTTACCTGAAATCGTGCGGCTGTTCAGGCCAATACTTCATCTGTCTCTTGTCTTCAGGCCATGTGGTGAGCCGCAGTCTACAAGAGAAGTGACGAACTGCTGCTGCTACATCTTTGGTGAGTATCATGTCACTGCCAAAGCCTTCAAACCCATCAGCTTCCTTCTGGCATTTCAGCCTCTGTTCCATTGGAAGAGCAAGGAATTGCTTGAAGACCAGCCGCACTCTGTCCATGAGTGAACTCTCCACTCCGTGGTTTGTAACCATGACGCAGCCGTACGAGCTGAGAGCAGAACGAAGCCTTTCGAGCTCTGCTCCGGTGCCAACGGATGGAGTCGTGATGCGATTGAAATCGATGACCGGAATCTCTAGCAGGGGGAGAGGAATCGATGGGTCCTGGCTCGGGTTTATGCTGTCGGTGTAGATGTACTTGGCCGGTGGGTTTTCGCCGGTGATTGCCAATTCATGAACAGAGTACTCCATGGTTTTTGGCAATGGCTGAGGAATTAATTGTTGGGAGGGGGAGTTGAAATTCTGGCAAAAGGGGCAAATTGAGTGACGACAAATCGGCTGTGAAAGGGTCTTTGTAATTCTTGGAAGCTTGTTTCTGGAAAGGGATGTCGAATTGGCTGAAATGAGATTCTTTAAGACCAGAAATGGGATATCTCGTCGTTGAATGTGGTCTGATTTTGCTTCCTTGAGAGTCTGCGGGGCCAGTTTTGGCAATAATGGTTCCTAGTGGCTAGTGGGACATGGAAAGAGTGGTGGCAGTATTGAGTATAGAATAATTGAAGCACCATCAAGTGGCAGTATTTGAGTATTGACTATTGAAGCTGAGCATCAAGTTGCGTCGAAAAATTCGACCTGTGATTACTGATTAGGCCAACACCAACACGTGCTAAGAGGTCTTATGTTCGAAACTTAGGAAGAAAACAAATGATACCTGAAGAACGTAGTAACAACTTCTGCCGTTAATACGTTAACAGTAGCCCGAACCACGACCATGGCTCGCCGAACATTTTCGTGCCAAACCATATAACTCCTTTCCCTCTCAGGATTCATCATCACAGGGCAAAACTAAGCTAATAGTCAAATTCGATTAACTAGTTTGACTTATTCCTACAGCAACTAGCCCTTCTGCCTACAGGTAGAACTAAGCTCATCCACCATTGGACAACCCTTTGATTTTAAGCTATATTACTCTGTATGGACAATCACCAATAACCAAACAAATTTCAAACAAACAATGAAGCTAACCAATGAGCAGAATCAAAGCAAGCCCACAGCAGTGATCCCCGCATTGACTGGATCAGCATGTTTGATTGTCATCCCTAGTTATACTTATGTAGGCTTGTGTGAGGTCACGAAAAGAAAGCTCAAATTTCAAAATTCCTTATGACATGTACTCATACATGCGCACATTGCCTCCCATATATATAACTAGCTTTTACCCGACCCGTTGGTCGGATTTTTTTTTTTGGTGTTATTTAAATTTATCAATTTATTTTCATATTAAATGCACTGGAATTTATTGTATAATTTTTGCTTGATTGGAAAGTAATATTATGTTACTTATTCTTGTTATTGGTAATGAGATTATAGTTTATAAGATCATCCTATCTTACTCTTGTCCATACAATTTTCATATTTTAGAAGAGATTTTGCGTTACCACTTAATATAAATGGTTCAAAATGTAGTTATTTATAACATTTGATCTCATTAACTTGATATCTCTTACTAACATATTATAATTTCAAATACATTAGTTATTGACCCCGAATTAAAGTAATAAATATTAATATAAAAGTATCAAAGACCAAAGAACTTTCTAGCGATTAAATAAACTACAACAAATAATATAATCTACCCAGTCAATAGTTGAGTACAACCCCAAGTTTACCTTTGATTACACGGACAATCTTATAAATTGAAATAACCCAAATCAACACGGGTACAATTAATAATGAAGTTATACATTGTGAGATACTGAAGATCCAACAACAGATTAGCCTCGTGCACATATGTAACCTATACTTGACTTGTTCTTTGCATGTAAACTGGAATGCTAAAACACTCCTGAAATGGAAAGGGGCGGTGAGAACAATCATTTCAAAGAAATTAGAATGGCCACAAAAGGAACCAGATGTCAAAGTCGGCAGTGGTTTAGTAATGCATCACCCACTGGAATCCTTCGAACTAACACATCTGCTCACTATAAGAAGCTATGGTAAAGCAGAAATGTTGATATCTACCAACCACCACAGTGATTCATTATACGGAATACATTGACTATATAAGCAGTAACTGATGAAGCTAATGAACATAAACTCGCGGTGGCAAGAGGAATTGATTTGTCAGAGTATACAACAAAACGAAAATACATTGCCAGGGTCGTTTCTTTGATGTCGCGGTTAACTCTAGAAATAGTTAGAAATGAGGTTTCAAAGTGATATGAAAAAGGATCAAATTTATGTACAAAACAAATTTACTGATTGATGCAACTATGCTAGGGGATTATGCAGCTATAACTGCCTTAGAGTTAACAATTAGGTGAAGACATGACTTTTTGTTCAAACAATTCACTTGTTGTAATTCTGATGGAGGACACAGATGAAGGATGAACATTCTATCCTAAATTCATACCGCAATGAATTGAAAACAAAAAGAACAAATTTTAGCAGACTATAAAATATAAATCATGTCCTCAAAATGTGTCATCATTAGCAATGCAACTAACTATCCCATTAAAAAACAATACAAAACCAACAGATTGAAAACCTAGTTTGTAGTTGATATCCGACAACCATTTATATCTATAGTTCCATGAAGTAATGGTTACCTATCACTGGGTGGGTGGGTCACCACCCTCGGTACACTATAAATCGGCACAGTAGTCTCGAAACACTAAGGTCTGGCGAACCATTTGAATACAGGACCTGCATACAAAGACAAAGTAAAAGAAAGAAGGCAACCCAATTAGAGGTCTAGAAACACACAAGTCGTATATGGAAATCACTTTAAAGTTAAGAAGATATGGCACAGCCGAGACCAATTATACATAATCACCGCCACTTTAGAATTAGAAACACATATATTGCATAACGTCTATCTTAAATTTCATTTAATTGTAAAAGACGAAATTATGTAAAGCCATAATGTCAAAGAAACAAACTTGCAAGCCAGTAAATAATACGAACATTAACAACTTAATGCAACCTAAGCACACCAAGTCTCTGCTCATTTCTCAACTCTGATCAATGGCAGAAATGATTCGATAATGATGATGCACATAGTCCATTGTACAAAGAGAGGGAGTTCAGGTTGAAAGTGATCTTACATGGATGAAAAGTATAAACAAAAATACACGACCACATTATATGGTAATCCTGTATTACGTATGATTGCCCCTTTTGATGAAATTGATGAACATGAAGTCACGGCAGCAACAAGAATTCATTTGTCAATATAGAACAAAACAAAAATACATTGCCAGGGTCGTTTCTCCGATGTCGCAGTCAGTTCTAGAAAGAGTTAGAGATGAGGAGAAGGGGAAAACCAAAGCAACGGATGTGTCGAATCGATAGAGGTGTATGTATGACCTGCAGAAGAACAAATCAACAAAGCGTCCAAACTGACATCCTAAACCCATCTGGTAATTAAAGAAAATTGAAGAATACGATAAAAGAAACTAACCTAGAATTGATTTGGAGAGCAGCGAGATGCTGGAACCCAACAAAATAAGCTATTTTTCAAATGATTATAATCGATACATGACAGAATGGAAAGATCGATACATGAAGGAAAGAAGAGATTGCAAGAGGAACCAACCAATACCATTGCCGCGACCTCCACCTAGTTGTGGAACCGATTCAGAGAGGATGTCGATTTCTTTGGTCGAACGGCAATATGACTGCGCGCAGCCTCCAAAGAGCAGGGGAATTAGAATTTATTGATAAGAAAACTGCAAAATAGAAACATCGAAAGCAACTTTCATTCACAAAGTAAAACTCCTAAAACCCCTCAGGCTGTCTGCGAATTAAGCACACTGCAATTTTTTACCCTAGAAGAGAAAAGGAAAACACAACAATGGCAGGGAAAGAAAAAACAATGAAGAAGGTTAGGCAAAAGGAACGACGTAGTCGAGAAGGTTAGGCACAGTGGTGAGCTTTTGACCCGTGAAGAAGGAGAATGGATTTGTCACTGGTCCAATCGCGCAACATCCCTGCTGCATGGCGGTGAGAGTTTAGTTTGTGAAGGAGTAAATCATTCGAAGATAACTTGAGGAGAGAGGACCTGTTATCTCTGCAAAGCCGCCCCTATTGCCAAAGGAAGATGGGGAAACCTGGACTCAGCGCAGGTGTTTTGTGATCCCAGCCTCTTCAAGAAATGCAGAATCTATTTAATCCATCTCTTCTGTAAAATTAATCCAAATTTCTGCATCTTCAACCTGTATCAGTACATAGGAATTGAAGGGGTTAAAGATTGATAGTATTTCATAAATCACGCCAAGTTCAAACTCATTTAAGCAAGCAAAACAGTGATCACGAATACAAAACCAACACATATATATTTGCAACACGAAACTGAACAATCCCGTGCCTTGGCATAGATTCAGTTAGGTACTGATTTTCAGAATCACTTACAGGAGACCAACATACATCATATGTTCAAAGGGTATATGCTCAAGCAAACACTCTCTTCTTGCCGAACAACACTACTTTACAACGTTTACGAACTCATTACTAATGCTATGAATACATTCTCGGTTCAAATGCTCCTACTAAACAATGGCTAACAAACCAAAACAAAATGAATTTGTATAAGACAGATACATCTAATAGGGGCAAGTTATATTTAACTAAAGAAACCTAATGACGGGCAGGCAAATACGTTAATTAGAGAAAAATCTCTCAATCCCAGTAACTTTAGTTAACTGATATCATCCCGCAATTTCTAAATCCCACAAGTGCTCCAAAGTAGATAAATCATGCAGCTTCATACTCGACGGGCAATGAGTAATCACCAATTCTTGCAATGAGCCCCATCACTCCACTCGAGCTTTCATAACCCGGTCAAATTTGATAGGCTGGGCAGTTTTCTCAATATAGCACAACCAGTCACCCTCAAATCCTTTAGAAGGTTTAGATGTTCAAGACCATTGAGATCAATTTGATTCAAAGGGATCGATAAGTGGAAGACAATAATTCTTTTCTCAATTAATTAGAAAGGCGAGTTCAAAGAAAGGAAAAAAGCAAAGACGCCAATCTAAATTAGCAAGCAAACACTACATAAGAAAACCCCGACAGCAAGAATTAACCCACCAATCGAAATTGCAGAACTTGACAGTTGACAGAGCTGTTCGCAGAAGCAAATCTCCATAACTCATACCCCAAAGAAGAGCCGGTGAAACTGCAAGCATGGAAATCGATTGACAGAGTTGAGGTTATGGTTTTGTGAAAATAACGAAAAGCAAATACGAATGGACAAAACAAACCAATTTTAAATAGAACCAGCAACTCTCTACATGATTAACCATTCATCTTATTCTACTACAAAAGAATAGGATATATATCTCTTATACTTATTTATACCTGATTGACCATTGAAACAGGAAGTAATGATGGCAATTACTCCAATCAACTTTTCATAAACTATCAGCACTATTGTTTTTGCAGGAATACCATCAGCAAGCTCTAAATCATGGAGTAAGAAAAGAGACTTATCATGATTGGTGAACGAATGTGGAATTCCTTCATATGATCACAACATATGGGTTATTTAGGTTGCGACAATCAAGGTTTCTTGATTCTTCCTCTAGCTCCCTCGAGAAACATACTCAAAACTCGAGCTCAATGTGGTTGTTTCATGACCTTGGATGGGAGCAGCTACCTCTACAAATCACATCCCTCCCTGAAAACCCCCATATGAAAGAAAGGCAATGATTTGTCTTGCAAAAAGCTTTGTAGATGGTTCACTTTCTGACTAGCTTCATAAGTTTCATTTTTACCTGAAGCAGTTTGGGAAACTCACAAGGCTACTTTAGAACGTGTTTGCCGGCTTAGTGGTCCTGAACTGGCATTTCTCAATGACCCCCTCATCCAATCCCACACAATTCCAGCATAATAATTCTCCATCGAGAAGATCATTTTCTGTCTATCCCTGTGCAGCAGTGTTGCTACCAAGAACATCGAACCCACAATAGAAGGTAGTTGAATCCAATCAATGAACATGTAAAAACAGAGAAATATGACACAAATTAATCTGCATGATTCTGATATCATATCTCTCTGTCCATCTAAAGCAAGAATATTGAGTAAAAGTTAGTTCATACTTTTGTCCCTACGGTCCATACATAGTTTAAATTTCATTGACACATACAACTTGATTTCTAATTCTACGGAGTTAGTGAGAGAACCAACCATTTCGTCACAGTAGAGATGCAATAGTGAAGGTCCTCTGCAGGTTGCGAAGGAGCATATGAACCCCGTATGTGCAACAGGCGAAGGTTGAGATGTGTCCATCAGTTAGTGTTCGTTAACATCAAGCAGCAGTTTGTGCTTGATATGTGGAGGATCTGCGGTGCGTCCGGCAACAACTTGTATGGTGCTTCTTCGGGGGCATGATGTGGTTCCTGGGAGCAGCGGAAGAAAGGGCCAGACCTATCAAAATCCTAAGCAATTGAAGTGAGACTTGCATCAAGAAGGTTTCTTCAGCAAATTCAATTGAAAAGTAAGAGCAAACCAGATCATAAAGGAAAACCCAATTGCAAAGAGAGGGCCTGGAACCAGTGAGGGGAGCAAAGAGAGGGTCTAGAAGAAGTAGAGGGTGAAGTTGCAGCTCCAGGGCGAGTCAAGCGGCGGTACTTGGCGGGCGGCTTACCAATCGAACAGGCGAGAATCCTGTCCTATAAGAACTCGAAGAACCGGCGGAAAATAGAGACGCGTTCAAGGAGCAGCGGAGATTTCCACCTTTTCTCTGCGGCAGAGCAGCGGAGATTTTCAGCTATTCTCTACGGCGAACGGGGTTCGCCGTCGCAGGGTCGGGATGCAGCTTCGACCAGGAAAGAAAGGCCGACTGGCGGAGCTTTTCCTCTGGTGAGAAAATGAGCGGTTGAGTGCAGCAGGAGCTTTGCTGCGATGAGAACAGGAAAGAGGAAGGAGATTTTCAGCCAAAACAAAAAAAAAGTAGTGGGCAGTTCTTTATCCCTCCTATTAGGCGGGGTTTTCTAAATTAATGCCGCCTAAAACCCCAAATTAATGCCGCCTAAACACCCTGCCACGTCAGTCTCCTAAAATCACTCTACGACCAGGAAAATTTGAATGGGGGATGCAGTTATACTTTTCAGCTATAAATGATACTGTTGACTCGAATCTACATAACCTTATGAGGGTTGGAATGGATACAGTCATAACCAAGTGAGAATAGTTGAGAGGGACATGGGAGACAACATGGCTCATAATCCAGAGGTCGAAATGGGTAACTGGGTCAAGACTGAAAAGGAGGGAGAAAGATCCCAGTGAGGACATAAATGGAAAGCACGGAGAAGGGGCAACAAGACATTGACAAGGAGAGACAGAGCAGGACCAGGATGGATATCCGTGAGATGCACAAACTCATCGGCAATATCAAAATTAACTTGCCACAACACAGATTCGTGTGCAAAAGTCTCACCAACAACTGGTATATCTAACAGACGTCCTAGGTTGACAACAAGAATGGTAAGGAAGTGACCGTGGAACAGGGTAGAAAAAGCTCTGGAGTGTAGACCATCGGAGGCGAAGGTTAGAGTAAATACCTGACAATGATGGGACAAAACATGGATGAAAGAGATTCGAGCGAAAATTCCCATCCCGGATTTTGAATGTAATCATTAACATTTAGGCAAAATCAGGAAACTCTCCAAAAGGGGCAAAACTTATCAAAAGAGGATCAATCGTCTAGTCATTGATTTTGTTCAACAATATATGATCCATCATTGTCATCATACTTTTTAGACATTTCAAAATATGGTGACTACTTCGGTGCACTCACAAAAATGAGGGCGTTCAGTGCACCCAACACAAAAACTAGTATTAAGGTGTCGAATTTTGAATTTAATTTGTAGAATTAGTTTAATATGATTATACAACATATGATAACAACTAATTAGCGGATTACCCTAAGCCATAGACCTCCAATTTTGAGTTCTATCCCTAAACCCCAAATCGTAAACGCTAACCCTAACCCTAAATCTCTAAACCCTAAATTCTTCAAATTAAAGTAAAATTTTAATGGTTTTTCTGCAAATTCATGTGCGTTATTGTTCATCACATCATAAGTGATGATTGACATCATTTTGACATAAATCGCATATTTAAAATGATGGTTATGAAGTGAATGCACTGAATGCACCCAAAAAATTGAGTGCACCGAATATGCCACCTTCAAAGTATATATCTTTGCGGAGACATATATGATATGAATATGATCAGTGGGGTAATGAGTATCTTTGACATACTTTCATTCTCCTCATGTCCTCTTTTCCCTATAGTTTAAAAACTTTGTAATAATATAATTAACTTTCTAGCAATCAAATGGACTACCATATTGCTATTCAGTGTTGATCGGTCACAATTTGGGTGAGGGATCAAGTATTTGGGTTCTACCATTTTTGTTTATAAACTGGTTTTGAAGCGCCAAAGCTATCAGAAAATAAGCTTAATTTATCCGACATAAATACTGTAATTAGATGAATATTTGATCCGAAAAATGGATTATAAATTAAATTTTGAATCTTTATTCTTATAGTATAAACATTGAGAAAGAAAATGCTTGAGGCCAGCCGCACTTTCTCAGAAAGTGAACTTTCCACGCCATGGTTCCTTATATGAAAGTCGAAGTATGAGGTGTAATTAACATAGGATTCTTAACATGATATGAAGTAGTTTCATATTTGTATTGTGTTGAACTTTGCAAGTTATTATGAGTCTAACCAATCGTCAAGACCCACAAAATTACGCACCTGTGGATTTAAAACAAGCAAGAAAATTATGTAAGATAAAATTATGGGTAAATACAATTTAATATCCAAACCTTTCATTTTAAACAATATAATAGCCAAACCTTTTCGAAAACAATTTAATATCCAAATCGTCAACTTTCCGTTCGTTTGAACGTTAGTTGACACTTCAAAAAAGCTTTGTTTAGGGGAAATTGTCACAATACTACTTTGTTTTCTTATTTTGGCACTGCAGATGACTGAATACTTAGATATTCTATACCATCATGGTGGAGTCATGGACTTCTCGGGTTTGGAATTACGATATGTTGGTGTTTTTTCAAAGAAGATATCGATGAATATTGATGAAGTGTCGTACTTCGAACTTTTTTGAAGTGTCAACTAACGGTCAAATAGACAGAAAGTTGACGATTTGGATATTAAATTGTTTTCGAAAAGGTTTGACTATTATATTGTTTAAAATGAAAGGTTTGGATATTAAATTGTATTTTTACTATGTATGTTTTTTCAAACTTGAGTTGTCAAGACAAACATCAAAGAGCAGTGAAATCATGCTATAACGCAAGGGAAGAAGAAACATGTTCGAGTGGGATAATGGGGTGGGCATCCGGTTCGACCGAATTAAAATTATGCATATCGGGTCCCCGAATTCCAGCAAACCTCAAATCGAATTCAAACTGAATTGTAATTCGGTTTGTTCGGTCTAAACCGAATTATAATTCGATTCGGCTCTAAATTTCACACAAAACCGAATTTGTGAGGCTATTTTTATATTCTCCCTTTTAAATTATTTTTCACCACTAATGTAAATAACTAAATATGCAATTATATGCATCATCAATGATAAAATCAAACATTTCAACACATAAGTCATAAAACACTAACATGATTCAAATATTTAAGTCTCAAACCAAGTACAAACCTAAAAACCCACCATTTGGAGTTTGAAATTATAGTAATTCGACTATTCGATTTGGTCAAAAGGACCCCAATTTCCGAAATATGCATTTTCCCCTTCCAATTTCCGAACCGAACAACATTAATTTGGTTTCGGTTCTGTCTATATTTGGTTCAGTTCGATTTGATTTTACCGAACCGTATGCCCACCCCTATAATCAGAACTCAAACCAATATAGAGTTTTTACCCGTATGAAGTGGTTAAACCACGATGGGAAAAAAAGCCCTCAGATTCTCGCCACATCTGCTAGTCTCATCCCACTGTGATAGTAACCAACTTGGGCAACTACACTGTACTTCACCTGCCTGTAAAGTCTTGGCCTTTCTCCACTAACCAAATCTTCCAATGGCTCAATCTGTCTCCCCTCCTCAGGGAAAGACGCTATCACCACAGAAATCCGCTCACGCTTCGGGTTCAGAACCACTCTGTGAACCGGGCTCTTGAACTCCCCATTACTCATTATCTGGTAACAGAGTAGTAGCAGTCAAGAATCAAACTCCATTGATGACTAATTCAAGCAACAACAATCATCTTACTTAATTAAATTACCTCTAAATGGTCCCCAGCATTGAGGACGAGGGCATCTGCAACGACCGGAACTCGATACCATTGACCATCTTTCAGAACCTTGTGTTGACAAATCGTGTAGGGCATGGCGGCGGTGAAAGGGTAATTCTTGGAACCTTGTGTCTTGCGGATTTGCCCTGCTGGTGTTTGGAAAGGAATATCAAATCGGCTGAAAAGCAGATTCTCCAAGACCAGAAATGCAAAAATATCGTCGTTGAAATGTGGTCTGATTTGCTTCATTGAGAGTCTCTCTGTGGGGCCAGTTTTTGGCAATAATGGTTCCCAGTGGGACATGGAAAGAGTGACGGCATTGACGATTGAAGCAGAGCATCAGCCATCAAGTTGCGTCGAAAAGTCCTACCAGTGATTAAGAGTTACTCATATCAATCTAATGTGAGGATTTCTCGCGTTAACTGGATCAACGAGTTTGATTGTCATCCGCTTAAGTAGGCTCGAGTAAGATCACGGAAAGGAATCTGAAATTTCGAAATTCCTTACGAAGGTTGGATACAATCATACAATGTTGCTGCATACACAAGGTTCTCACAGGTCATTTCTTTTCTCCAATGAGAACAAAAAGACCTCAGATTCTCACCTCATCTGTTACTCTCTTCCCACTCTGATAGTAACCCAGTTGGGTAACTCCATTGTACTTCACCTGCCTGTAAAGCCTCGGCCTTTCTCGACTAACTAAACCTTCAAATGGTTCGATTTGTTTACCCTCCTCAGGGAAAGAAAGTGTAGCCATGGATATCCTCTCCTTCTTCGTGTTCAGAACCACTCTGTGAATCGGGCTCTTGAACTCCCCGTTGCTCATTATCTGGTACAGAGCAGCAGTCAAAATCAAACTCCATTGTTGACTAATTCAAGCAACAAGCTCACACCAAAACAATCATCTTACTTAATTACCTCTAGTTGGTCTCCAACATTGAGAACAAGACCATCTGCAACGATTGGAACTCTGAACCACTGCTCATCTTTCAGAACCTGAAGCCCTTCTACTTCTCTGTCTTGCAGCAAGAAGGTGATTACTGTTCCATCAGAATGCGGCTTGAGCCCCAGAACGCGATCGGGTGTTGGACATGGCGGGTAGAAGTTGAATCTTGAAGAGATCGTCCCTCCTTCTCTGATCACCTTCAGAAACGTGCTGTCATCTTCCAGGCTCAATGACCTCGCCATGGCCTTCAGAGTTGCATCGTGCAGCACTCGTAACTTGCTGCTATATTCATCGAGAACTTCCCTGGTAACAAATCGATATGATCGTCTATCATTTCATTATCAAGTTTCAAGCTAAAAAGGAGCTATGTATGAGTTTTTAGATTTACCTGAAATCATGTGGCTTTTCAGGCCAATACTTCATCTGTCTCCTGTCTTCAGGCCATGTGATTAGACGCAGTCGCGCAGAAAAGTCATGAACTACTGCTACATCTTTGGTAACTATCATGTCACTACCATACCCATCAAACCCGTCAACTTCCTTCTGCCATTTCAGCCTCTCTTCCATGGGAAGAGCAAGGAATTGCTTGAAGACCAGCCGCACTCTGTCCATGAGTGAACTTGCCACTCTGTGGTTTGTTACCATGACGCAACCATACGAGCTGAGAGCTGAACGAAGCCTCTCTAGCTCTTCTCCGGTGCCGATGGATGGAGTCGCAAGGCGATTGAAATCGACCACTGGAATCTCCAGCAGGGGGAGAGGAATCGATGGGTCCTGGCTCAGGTTTATGCCGTCGGTGTAGATGTACTTGGCCGGCAGGTTTTGACCGGTGATTGCGATCTCATGGACAGAGTCCATGGTTTTTTGCAATGGCTGATGAAGTGTTGGGAAAGCTGAGGTGAACTATATGGACAGCAAGGGGAAGTTGAAATTCTGGCAAAGGGGCAAATGGGTGATGACAAATCCGGACGTGTAAGGCATGCCGGAGGTGAAAGGGTCCTTGTAATTCTTGGAAGCTTGTGTCAGCGGAATTGCTCTGCTTCTGTTTGGAAAGGTATATCAGATTTGGCAATAATGGTACCCAGTGTGGAACATGGAAAGAGTGGTGTGGTGGCAGTATTGAGTATTGACGATTGAAGCACCATCAAGTTGCATCGAAAAAGTTCAATCAGTGATTACTAATTAGGCCAGCCTGCAAAGAGGTCTCGTGTTCGAAATTTAGGAAAAACAGACGACACTTCAACAAGACAAATCACGATCATGGCTCACCGAACATTTTCGAGGCAAATCCACAAGACAAGGTGCTCAAACCTTTGCCTATGAAGGCTCTAAACCGCACATAAACAAGCACCACACGCACCAAGAGTGTGCAAAAGTAAACGACATGCTCTCATCCACGTTGGTGGCGAACCAACAGTTTTGCCAACAGACAAATATAAGTTTCTAAAGCTAAAAAAATACAACCCTTGTCTATTCTCTTGTCAAAGGGGAGATGATGAAGGGAGTTAGGGTTTCAACACTCTAAAGCAAACAAGTATATATAACCAAGACTCAATAGTTGCAGTTCCCAGAAGATCAAGGATTGGAACAAGTATACCATTGCAATCCTTTCCCATTCAGGATTCATCGTCAAAGGCAGCAGGGGTAAGCTAACACTAAACTATGACTAAGCTTTTGCTCATCTACCAACGACCATATTAACACTCCCTCCTACTCAAAAGGGTTGATTCCTACGTAAAGCTAGCTACCAAAGAGCTCACGTAAACAAATCCCCGACAAACTTCCATCACAACGATCATGCAGAGGTTCAATCTAAAACCATAAACACAGAAACCAAGAAAGCAACCAGCCACAACTTAACATCAAGAGTCCACCAAAACTCATAGCCTTCATCTCAACAAGATAGGAACCAGTGCGGACATAATGGCATCGGTCTGGTCTCTCCTCGAGGTTCCAAATGATCAACTTCTTATCAAAGAGAAGAGCACCAATTATAGCCATAATCATAGAAATCCCTTTCTTCTCAGGATTCACTGTATCAAAGGAGAACTAAGCAAATACTCGGATTTGATACGCTAGTTAGACTTACTCCCACAGCATCTAGACCTTCTGACTACAAGGAGAACTAAGCTCATCCACCATTAGACCACCCTCTGATTCTAAGCTACATTACTCTAAATGGACAATTATCAATTACCAAAGAAACTGCAAACATACAATAAGATATATAATGAGCAGAATCAAAGCAACAGAACACAATCACAAAACACAGAATACCAAAAATTCCACAAAGCTGATATTTTTAGTAATCTCAACAGCAACAGAATCCGATACTCAAAAGGCAAATAACTACCATCTGTTCAAAAACTTCAACATCCATAGCGAAAAAACAGAGAGCTGAATCAAAAAGACGTCACCCCAAAAAACGAGATCTCTCAATCGACGTTCTGCATGATATCGTCGGCGGTGAACTTGGTCCCCTTGTCCTTATCCGCGGCGGCGCGGCCCTTCGCCTTGCGGTCCAGCAGCGACTTCCTGTCCTTGTCGAGCCTCAGCTTGGTGATCACGACCTTCGACGGGTGGACGCCGACGTTCACCGTCGACCCGTTCACCTTCTCCCTGGTGATGCGCTCGATGTGGATCACCCACTTCTTGCGGTACACCTGAACAACCTTCCCCTCGCGCCCCTTGTAGGTGCCGCGGACCACCTGGACCTCGTCGTCCTTGCGCACCGGCATCGACCTGGCGGAGTACTTCTGGCGGAGGTCGGTGGAGAGCGGCGCGCTCATCAGGATCCGGCGGACCGACGACGGCGCCGTGAAGTGGGCCTTCCGGTTCTTGCGCCGGGATGAGGAGACTCTCGGATTGTACTTCATGGTTGCGGCGAATCTAGGGTTTGGGACGGCGGAGAAGCGTAGCGATAATGGGGGAGGGAAGCGAAGTAGCGGCTGCTTGGAGCTGATATTACAGAAGCCGAAATCGAGGGTTTAGACTTTAGAGAGCCTTTGGCTGGAGGTTCGAGTGGGCCAAGATGGGCTTTTTCGGTTGGGTTGTTCTATCAATGGGCTTCGTCTGGGCTCAGAGTCGTCGATTCGTACGAGTGACAGACAGACAGATCTGTTTCCACTCTCCACCAGCAAGGCCCAGAAGTCCACATGTGCTACTTGGGGACTGGGGTAAGAACTAGGGATTCAGCATGATGATCTGTCCCTTGTCAGCTTAATCCGGCTTAGATTAGGATTAGTGCCATCTATGTAGTTAACCGGTTTAACCATAAGGGTGTAACTGTCCCAAAAGGTTACTCCGGAAGAGTCTGGAGTAGTGTATGTATTTTGTATATCAAACCGAGCTTTAATCGTTTCATAGTGTTAAAATCGTCCATCAATTTGGGGTTAGTTACCAGATATTCCTGATTCAACGAGTGATAGGGTACAGTTTCTAAAACTTTGCATCGGTATTTAATTTTCCAGGTCAAGGGTTCTTCATTGGGAATAAATGCTACTCTATGAAGCAATAAAATTTACCATTTTTCTGCCTTCACTCATGATAAGAGGTTAGTCACTGTGGTTGCTAGTAGTGTATTTCCTAATAATAAACTATAAAAGGAGGGTAGTCGTCGAATTCCATATAGGAGTGAACTTGGTCAGATTATTTAAAAACGACGTTATTTTTATATCTAAATGATTAAACTGACTTCAGATTCAACTGGCGACTTCGAACGGAGTATATGATCCCCAACTAAACAACAACTTATTCAATTGCTCAACATGACAAGAAACCTGAAATTTAGATATTTAAAGTAGGATGAGGATTCTTAAGTGGATGATTCTGAGTACAAACAGTTATGACGAGAAAGCAAATGACAATGGTGATTTGTGATCATGGCCACAAGAGTCAATCATGATGTGTTGACATGAACAAATCCCAAGTTTTGTACGTATACCATACCTCCAAACCGCAGCTAATTACTCTGACTAGTGATCGACATAACAACAAATTATAATCGTTCCTCCATAATTACATTTTTGTCTTTTAAAGTCCATTCATTTTGCTTGCTACGGCATACCAAACAAGTAACAGCGACCCCACTGATGACTCGACCGTCGTCGGTCCCAAGATTACGAGTGCCCAAAACAGAACATGGCGACAAAGCTGTTACACGACATGCCGTGCTGCTAAAACCATGAAAATCAAAGCCGTTTCGATCTGCTGCTGCCCGATTGTGTCTTGTGCTGTGGAGATAAGGTTGTGGCTCGTGAGATATATAGTGTAGAGTTATATATATTGTGGCTCCCGCGATATATAGTGTAGAGTAATTTTCTTTCGAACGAAAAAATAATTAGGACATGTACATTGACATTATTGTTCATTTCTTTCAGTTATTTATCGGGTCTAGTCAGATTGTCCAGATATAACAAGTAAGTAGGATTAGTAATTTAGTACGTCTAACTATGTTCACCGAACATCCTAATTAATAATTTTTATTGAGGGGGGAAAGGTGAGGGTAAACATGGTTAATTGGCATTTTGATTGGATGGAGACATTGACTCGACAGTCAACATAAATAATTGTTACTGGAATTAAACGTTCTGGATCAATCAAATAACTAACTCTTTTTATGATGATATATAACATACACATGGATAGGTTCGTTACAAATCAAGTGTAGGAACTTATTTCTAATCAACCAGTTCGTGCATAGACTTATCGGTCATAAATCCGAACAAGTCCTAATTATCTCAAATTTTGGATACTAAATCATATATAGTGAGGATTAACCTATTTAAATGATTAGTCTCAAGATCATACTCCAACTATCAAGACAAGTGTTGTTCTACTTGTATATATCCTTGTCATTAATCGGGTCATTAACAAGTTCCCAAAAGTTAATTGAGCGTGATGATGTTCTGATGGGAAAGAGAGACATTTAAGAAGGATAAAGGATGATTCTGCTCATGGAGATTTTGCAAAACTAGTGGCCTAGTGGTGGGTAACAAACTGACAAAATTACTGATTTAGTAATAGATTAAGCTCTCCCATGTCTCCCCCTGCTTTAAATGTTTATTCCTTCTTCTGGTCAAAAGCATATTAATTAATTAATTAGTGAATTAACAACTAGTGGGCAAATAAGTCTTGAAAAAGATCAAGAGAGATGGCCTCTTGATTCCATAAGCAACTACCTCTCTACTTTCTTTCCCACTTGACTTGAATTTTTGGGCCAATTCTTGGATTTGTGTTGAAAATCGGGTTGCTGCTTTGTATGGGTAACAGCTTGAAGGGAATCATTGCTGAAATTGGAAAAAGGCATAATAGGGTTGTGATTCACTACTCGATTGGTTTCCAGCGGGAAAAAAGTATGAGGATTGTTGATTATCGATTTCGAACTTTATATAATGCATGAGAATTGATACGATATGTTTTTTGGGCTCACTCCTCATAGTCAAGTATTATGAGAAGAAATGGTGGTTGGTTGTAAGTCCGAATCGCCAACTTTGATGGGGTTTCGTGATATCTATGAGAATTATAGAACTTGAAACTGTTTCGAAACGAATGCTTCAAGATCTCTGATCATAAAGAAAAATAATAGGATGGTGCATTATTGGGGACTAAGGTGGAAAATACCCCCACCTAATATTCTTAAAATGAAAAGTGATTTCATAATTAAGATGGGTTAGCTAGGTCTCATGGAGTTGGTTATTCTCTTTCATTTGTAGGGACAGTTACCTACAAATTTAAAGCCACCTGATCCATGTTCACATGCAATTCAATAGAGATGGAAGGATTAAGGAAGGAGGCTAAGAACCTCTGTTCAAGTTCTGGAATTTATTTAATGAAATCCTGATGAAGTAGTTAAGTTAGGAATGATGATAACCAAAGGGCAAAGACCCAACTGCTACTGAGATTAGAAATCCAACAAACCCTCTTTCTTTTAGGTTTGATCTGCTCAATCTCAGTGCCCCACTTGACGTTTTGGTAATTATGTACTTGGTTCACTTTTTCCAAGTTTTTTTCTAACATGGACCACAGACAAGCAGTTTGAAGTTATTTTGATCTCATGAAAATATCGAACATTTCAAGTTTACAGCTTTGTTGATGGTCCATCAATATATTTTGTTCATAAAGATAAATGGTAGAATTTGAAGTCAGAAGTAAATTGTGTCTACTCATGTACTTTAGCCCACTCATAATGGTTTGTAGATGTTATTTACTTAGTATCATTATTTTTTATTTGAAAATAGTACACTTTATTATCTAAGATATAAATTTTTTGTCAACTCTACAAGTTGTTGGTTTATGCAATAATTCAAAAACATTTCTCTTTCCAATCACTACTTATAATAAAATTTCAGTAAATTAATATTGTACAATAGGTGTAAATGATTCTTTATCTAGTGGTAAGTTCCCCTCAAAATAGCTTCTAGCTTTTAAAATTTTCAAATACATATATCTTGTTAAATCTCAAATTAAATAATGATATATTCTCTAAATACATATGCACAATTTGGCAATGTATTGTGAGAGCTGACACCTAAAATCCCCGTGAAATTTTTCATTATGGGGAACTATGTATTCACGTCATTTAAATAACGTTTATCGTGTTGTCAATGAAATATTTATCTAAATCTAGCTTTATATTGGTATGATGTTGGTTCCGCTCCTCTGTTTTGTATGCTTCCCCTTTTTTGTGTTTCGCGGCTCGCATAGATGGCCTGGTCCATCGAGCAGCTCGTTGTGTTGGTCGGATCATGAGAGGATAATGTCTCATGATCCCTCCACCGCGTTCTGTTTCCTACACTCTATACTTTTATTTTCGGACCTTCTTTTTCGTTATTAATATACTCACCATTATATTAAAAAAAAAACTTGAATGATGCCATGATGATTATATGTATACAACATGTATCTTCTAGAGTTAGAACTTTTTCGTGTATGTGGTAAAGAAATCTGCTGCAAGTTGTTGGGTTCTCTTATCAAAGTTGAAAGATCGAGGAAGGTGGTGCAATATTCCACAAATTGCATATGCATTGGCTTTTTATTAGTTGTTCTTGCGAATAATGATTAGCGATTTCTGCCTGGCCATGTGAATTGGCTTATTATTGATATTGCCAACGATAAATGAAGATCTTATGTCACCATTCATGTGGAAAATCTACACCATTTTTGGGTTACACGAAAAAACGGGATGATCATGATGGTTCTTTCAAAAAATAGATAACTTGTTAGCACTCCATCTAATGACATAATCGATTCGTTTTATGCCTGCTATATAGTAGTCATGTTCATCATTCTTCAACTCATCGACTTTTAATTGAAGATAAACATTCGTGAAAAAACAAATATGTAGCTAACTTCCTTGTCCGCTAGGGTTATACATCCACTTTCAAGATTCGTGAATTTCAATGTGCAAACAGTTCTCGAAGAATTGATAACCCTAGCTTATGTTCTAATGCATTAGAGTGTTGTTCTGCACGCACTGTATCTGAATACGTTAATTGAAATAAGAAAACCATGTAACCAGCCATGCCTACTAACCAAACAAAATTTTGTAAGCATTATGTGGCAACTTGACAATGGATTTGGTTGATAAATCAGTAGAAGATGATCCAGCTATGAGTTTTTTTTCTGGTAGGCATTCACCATCAAAGACACTGATAGTTTGCCTAACCAGAGATAACCTTATGACATTAGGGCAATGGTCCTAATAAATTATTATTCTACAAATTATGACAATCAAGCTCAACTAACACATGCATGTGGATCTCAGACTTTTGACCATCTAGGGAATTTGCCCCAAAAATTAAGGGACTGCCATTAACAAACCCTTTTATTCTATACAAAAATGTCGGGCAGCAGGGCTGAATTTGATTGGGCTCTG